CACACACAACCAAACATTCGCACATTTTTGCAATACACTCAACAACAACAACAAAAAAATGATGAAAATATAAAACATTTTGATAGACTTAAAACTAAAGATAAATTTATTGAAAAAGAGTAAAGAGTAAAAACTCATTTGGAAATGTAAAAATAATGAAATGAAAAGCAAACTTCAAGCATGTCATCATAATTATAAATTGTAATTGAATTGTTTCAATCCAATAAAGTACTAAATAAAATTTCAAGCAAAATCGAAATTTGTTAACAAACGCAAAACCACACAGATATTTGTAGCCAGCGAAATGAAGTTGAGAATTGTGAGAGCTTGTATAGTAAGTTGTTTAATAAATAATAATAATGAAAGCTAAATAATTATATAAACTGAACGAAAGAAACGCACAGGCGGGTAGCTCTTTAGGTAGTTCTTTGCTTTCTATGTAAAATTCTAGGAAAGACAAAAAGAGTAAAAGAAGTTTTCTGATATTTAAAAACAATTAAATAAATAAATTCTCTAAAATTCTGGCAAAGATACAAATTTCAGCATCAACTGTGCGTTTCGTAGTCAAAAGTTATGCATTGTGTTTATTCATAAAATCAAACAACTAATGCAATTGTTACAACAATTAACACTATAGAGTATTAAACAATTGTGTTTGAACACTATCTCGCTAATATCAAAATTATATTGCATACTTTTTGGCACAGTGAAGTATGCTATAAATATTATGGCGGAATGTGTAGAATCGAAACTTGTTGGAATTTCGTTTTATGATAAATTTGTTGTATCTGTTAATATAATTTTAAGCATCTTAAGGAAAAGCAAAGAAAATCAACTGGAATTGCTGTTTAGTTTTCATTTATTTATTTTCCTTGCCCTGTCTCTCTCATCAATTGTGAGCCCAATGGAAAGCAATATTAGTTATTAATATTCAGATGACAAAAAACAAATCAGTTGTAGAATTTGGTCAATTTGGTTGGAAATTAAAGTAAAAAAAAAATGAAGAAAACAATGTAAGCTAAACTATTCCATTAAATAATAACTAATACATAGACATAATATCACTAAGCTTAACAAAGACACGCGCTTTAGTTGGAAACAAAATAAAAACAAGTTTGAAAAAATAAAATATTGAAAACATTTTTGATCAATCATTTCTCTGAGTTATCAACTCGAATGTGTATTATTTCTGACGTTTAACAATCTACATAAATAGAGCCTTAAATTTTAATTGGGCATATCATGTGCTGACATAATTGGAATGCTAGCAAATAGTGAAAGTAATTTCAGGTTTTTCAGCTCAGTTCTTCCAAAATAAAAACAAACAAACAAAATAAAACACAATGATACAAAAAATACACAAAAAGAAACCAAACAAATGCCTTTTACATGCCCACACGTACACTAATAGACAACAAACAAACTAAAAACTTAAAATAAGGAAACAAAATAAAAGAAACAAAGAATGTTTAACAACAGTTTAAAAACGAATGGAATAAGATTTGGTTAAAATATTCACAAGTTCAAACTTCACGAGTTTGTTGAATGTGAAATTTGTTAACTGAGAACAATTGTTAAGTGGGTAAAAGTTAGCAAAAAAAATAAATAAATAAGAAGCAAATATGAAGAAAATATCTATTGTTGTATGTTTTATTCTGAAGCGCACGAAAAACATAATAAATAAATAACAGAAGAAAGACATGCAAAATGTAGCTAAAGAAATGTTAAGGTAAAAATTTTTGTAAACTTTTTGATATGTGATGATGATTTAAATAAATTAAAGCCACAAAAAAATAAAAATAAAATAAACTAAATAAATACATAACTTAGCCGTAGATATTTAAATTAACAAACAAACAAATTTATATAAAAAAAAAATACAAAAATTCTTATAAAATAATGTAGCGCAAAGCAAAATTTAGTGCATAATAAAAAATAATAAAAAAAACAAGCTAGTTAAAATACAAAAATAAATAAAAAATTGATTGTAACTTGTTAAACTTTAAGCTGTAGACTCGGCAAGCCGAAGCACATGTCTAGCCCCAAACTGAGCTGCGACAGTTTCCACAGATCTTTTGATTTGTGTTTTGTAAATTTTCGTAAATTTGCAATTGAATTTCATTTCTTATTTACTCTAGGACGGGGCTAAATATCTAGCAATATTCATGGCAATTCAATTGTATTAACGACATTGATAAATCTGAAATGTAAGCAAATAAAAATAATATAAAAAAGAATAAAAAATTTAGTGAGCATTTTGTAGGAACGCGTAGCTAAAAAAGAAAATATAATTAAATAATATTTATTAAATTGAATAGTAATTCTATGTGCATAAGTAGCGAAATATTCAATTGTAAATAGATTTTTAATAAAAACAAGTTTAGTTTTCTTTAACTTTGTTTTAATTTTTTGTTTTTAAAGTGTTAAATAATGAATTTCCACTAAGGCAATATAAGAGTGTTTATAATTTGGTTTCTTAACATTTACAAAACACACAAAGCTTTAAATAATTTAATTAAATCAGATTTTGATACCATTACCATTGATAAATTCCATTGTAGATACAAACTTGTATTGAAAACCCAATTAATTAACAGTTAGTGAGCTAAGTCAATGTCGCCTAATGTGAGTTCTATAAGCATACATAAATTAATATAATAGTGACAACACTCACACACACACACACATATTTACTATAAACGTGCAACTAAAAATCTAAAGAAAAAATATAATTACATAAAAATATATAAATAAATAAAAGCAAAAAACTACAACAGGCCTGCAACATCACAACACAACATTCACAACACAAAGCTTTTATAAAACTATTTAAAAATATATATTTAAAAAAGAAAACAAAAAAATGTAAAAAAAAAATAATAATCCTGCCAAGTAACATTCGAAATACCTGCTTGATGAAGATACACCCGCTTTTGCTAAAAGAAAAACCTAAAAACTAAAACAAAAATTCAATACAAAAATATATAAAAAGAAAGGCTTAATACGATTTTTATACTTTCGATATAATGATTTTTTATACTAAACGTAAAACTCTTTGAAATGAAAAATAAAAACTGACGATTTTTTGGGGTATCAGCTAAAAAATAACGTATTGTATTTTTTAACAAAAAAAAAAAAATAAAATAAAATAAATAAGAAAAAAAATATTGATTTGTTGCAAAAATCGTACTTACAGTCGATATATATATATATAATATACGAATGTAATTATATATATGTATACATATATATAAACCCTAACTGCAACTATGGAACGAGAGCACAAATTTTGTTTAACAAAAATAAATAAAAATCAAATACTAAGAAAAAACTTTTTTTTAATTCCACTCTCAATCACACACACATACAAAATCAGACAAAAATATAAAATCAAATATATACATATTTATATACATATACAAATCCTCAACTAAATACATGAACATGTATGTATGTATATCTAGCTAAAGAATCGCACAAATTGATCACCGATCTTTGCTTAACGCCAACTCCCACTTAAAGACCCGACCCCGGCCCAAACACACACACACATACACACACTTCAAATACAATTTGTTAATTATATCACACATACGCCCACCCACACATATATTTTTCAGCCTATGAACGCGTTATTTTGTATGAGTATTCAATTTGTAAATACATATATATATATATACATATTAAATAATTTTACCTAAAAAAACAAAAACCAAAAATGAAAAAGAATTTCAAGCATTCATTTAAATACAATTTAGTTTTCTCCTATTGCATTTGTATATGCACAATGTGTTTCAAGTAAAGTAAATGGAAAACATAAATAAATCATGCAAATCGAAAGTTTTTATCCAAATGGAACACATGGTGTATGTCTATTAATCTATGTATTAGATATCAAAACAAAAACTGAACAAACCAAAAAAACGCATACTTTAACGAAGAAAATGTCAACTACAATAAATGAGCAGATGGAGAAAATAATATTAAAATAATAAAAAGAAAACCAAATATGAAAAAAAAAACTAGTGCAATAAATAACAAATTATTCGGTAATAAATGTAAAATTAAATACATTTAAGTAAACGCTTTGTAAAATACATATAAACAATTTATTACAAATCATGAAAAGATAAAAAATGGAAAACAATAAAAAAAATGATTATGAAAAATAATTACTATTGAGTAATAAAAAGCGTTATGCATTGACATTGACACACGTGATTCGATATCTCATCTTATAAGCATAAATCAATAAGATAAACAATAAAGAATAAATTAAAGAAACATTTCCATTTCTATAATCTGTACAAGTTTAATTTACAGCATTGTAAGTATTACATATTCAGTGCTTTTATAATCTCCTCCTTCTCTCTTGATTCCTCAATCAATTATTGTATGGCCCGACCCACTCCATCGAAGGTTTTTTCTTTATGATCGGAAATATTGGCACGTGACTCATAGTTGCAAATAGTTACGCCATGGAAATGGGCCTCCGTAAACTCCCCACGAAAACCTTTAAAAAGGAATGGTAAGAGAATAGGGTTTATAATTTATGTGTATATAACTAAATTTACTTACCTATATAGTAAATGCGCGTAACATCATCGCCATAATTGCTAGGGAAATACAGCGACAAATGATGTACAGAGGAAAATGTCACCACTCTGTAATAAAGTTAATTAGAATATTGTAAATATTTATAGTATATAGAATCAATATAATATACTTAAAGACTAATCTAATTAAAATTTAATTTTGTTCATTATCTTTCTGTTTCTTTTTTTTTAAGCCTGTCAATCTATCAAAGAACTGTTATAATACATATATGATACTTAGTAAGCCTATTAATGAAATGATCACCTACTTGGGTGAGTATTCAACCTCTCCTCGGCAATCGCGCGTCAACTCAAATTCCTGATCCGCTTTGCCACGTGCATCATCAAATGTCATCTTTGGTCGGTTCTTGAAGCTAAATACAATGGTAAAAACTCCCTATTTAAAATAGCATGACTATAACAATACTTTAACATATACGCACAGTTTAAGCCTATTTGGATGTGTGTTATCATTGGAGCCTCGTATGATAATTCCTTTTAGCTTAATGTTGCCGGTAAAGGGTACATTGAACAGGAGCTCCTCATCACCATCGCTTTGCACAAACTGTAATTAGAAATATTAAAATTTCCATGCGTAATATCAAATTGTCGCTGCCACTCCCACCTTGCTGTTATCTAAACGTTTTTCGTAGGGCTTGAAGACGGTCTTGCCGCTGCCATCGGTTTCCTCATTCAAACATTCCGTATTCTCGAGGTCAATTTTTGTATACAAACTGTATTCGATGCCCATTTCCAGTGCATTGTCGATATCGGTTGCCTCGTGGCTGCAACCGCGGCCATGATCATGCGAGTGTCCGTGTGGCATTTTTGTGAATATTAATAATATTTTTAAATAATAGTGAGTAAGTAAATAAAAGTGACAAGAATTTTATGCAAGTAATTGTAATTATACGAGGTTCAGCATTCTTATCGAAATATCGATAGTTGAGTAAACTTAATTCACTAGTGATGGCAGTAAATAAAATATCGTTGGCTACTTAAACACTTTATTGGATATTCAAGCAAACATTATAGAGCTTAAATTATTGAACTATATATAAACATATAATTGTCACATTTACGAAAACATTTGATCACTTTTGGGCTCATTTAACTTAATAAAATTGCGGATATTATTTTTCTAATTTGAAGTAGTTTATGGTTGTAGCATAACCGTGCGTATGTACTGAAGGACGTCTGGATGGACCAGAATGCCCATGTGATCGACACCCTTCAGGGCCAGCGTTGATATATGGGCGGAGCTGTAGCCCTCCCAGCTCTGGCAAGCTCGTAGCGAACGTTGATTAACGGTACCATCGCCATAGCCCATTTTAAGCTTCGGCGTTTCCCCGTTTATAGTATCCTTTTTGTATATTAAACTAAGAAAAAAATGCGATGCGATTAAACTTCAACTAACATTTGATTGCATGATTTGAAATGATTACCTCTCCACTGTGCTGACTCCATCTCCATATAAACAATGCAGCTCCACATCTGGAGGACTAAAGTTTTGTGTATATCGCATCGTATCCTTACGCATTTCCCAGCCCGTCATGTAGTCAATATCATTGAAGAACTCGTGCATCTGAGCCATGGTGTAATTACGCGATGGTGTCGATGCCAGGACTTCAGATGGCTTCCAGAACAAGGGCGACGGCAGCAGCCAGGCTGTCGATGGATGCGAGATCTGCTCGGAGCGTAGAATTTTGGCGCTCAGAGCAAACGAATCCAAGTCGTCACCCATGGCAAACACTTTCACTGCCTTCATGCTGCCCGCCCAGGCACCAGCTAAACTAATTTGACGACGAACGTATTGGGCCTTCCACTCGGCTGTTTGTTCTTGCAAGAATACGAGGGTCATAGGGCTGCCCATGCTGTGCGTTATAAATGTAACGGCAGTTTGATTATTAGCTTCATAAGTGTCTTCCACCAGCTGCTTGAGATCGATAAAGAATTGTGTATTCTCATCTACAAACGAGAAAGAATTAATTATTTATAAGATTAACTATTTGATAACTTACTTGGTGCCCGTCGAAAGTCGTAGGGAGCTCCACGGATACTTATACGGCGTACATAGCCCAGATCTGCCAACACATTGGCGATATCTTTAAAATAGGCTCCTGCCTTGTTTCTCGTGGGATCTATCCATTCCACGACTTCCGGATCACCCCAGCCAGGTATACGCGTCTCCACACCTGGCGTATTGTGCGTTGTCCTTGTTACCTTATCATAGTAGAGCTTCACATTATCTATCCAACAGTAAACCATCGGTATGACCAACTGCTCTAGATCCAGCCACAGATTATACCAATCATGTGTTTTTTCGCATATGAAATAAGGTGAGTCCGGTTTGTTCAAGCGTGCCTCAAGTTGAGAGCCACCGTCGCCAGGTACTGAACAGAAATTCGATTGTGACCTTGAAAATTGTGCATCTACATATGTAAATCAATACCAACCAAATATAACAGGACTCAGTCTTTTTTCCTTTGGGGGCTCTGGTTTTGATGGATGTTTGCCTTTTTTATGAAAAGGCCAAAAACAATTTCCAGCACTGAACAAGGCTACAAAGAGCAGCACTGCGAATATTATGCTGCAAAGTCTCATGATATGCGTGTGCCGTTGTGTTTTGCAATAACGGTAAGAGCGATCAGCTATAATTGGCGAGCCTCTGATTTAATTCTTTTCACTCCAGCAGTCAGTGGACAGATAATGATAATTTAATGCTATTAAATCCACAGTCGTAAACAAATGAATCAGCGCGTCAATTGCCTGTTTACATATGATTACATATGTATAAGCATTTATAAATATATGGCTATATACATATGTATGTATGTATGTTTATCAGACAGCCAAAATTCAATTGACCTTTTATCCAGTAAATGTAACTGTAACTGCAATTATGGGCGGTTCTTTTCCGCATCTCAATATGGCGCGATATTAATAGCCCCACTGCTGTTATTTTTTGTTGTTTATTTTTTTGTGCGGTTTCATAAACAAAGAAATCCGATGTTGTTGTTTCCGTCGCGTTATCTTTGATAATGAATACTTTTTGTTATTGATACTCTGTTTTTGCGCATCTGATTTGCCAGTGTTAGGGAGTGCAGATTTGTAGTATTTTTTAACGTTCATTCATATGGTCACATTGTGTTGTATTATGGACTTCATTTTAAGCAAAAAATCAGACTAAACTATTAGTACCAACAAATAAGTTTTGGATCAAAAACAGAAATAAATAAATTAAAACAAAAATGGAAGTTTTCACTGCGTGCGATTGCACGACTTGCAAGTAGCCGATGTATCGATAGTATTATTAATCGACACGACCGGCAAACGCACTTGTTAAGCGCGTTCAAACACAAATTTAGTTTGTTTAATTAAAAATAGTCGCAACTGCAGCCTGGAAAGCACATACAGCACAATGCAGGAGTTTTTCAGAGTGCTGATGCCGGACGTAAAGAAGGAGCTGCGCCGCGGCATCATCGAGTGCTCAAAACGCGGCCTGCTGCACAGCACCAAGTGGCTAGCAGAGATGCACCACGGCTTGAGTGATGTGAACATCGACAATGCAGCACCGGATGATGATCATTCGTTTAGCGAGTGCCAGCTGGAGGGCATTACGCCAGCCGAGTATAGCGATTATTTCCTAGCCAAGAGCTACTACGATGTGCGTGAATATGATCGGGCAGCGCACGCTGTCCGAAACTGCGAATCCAGTGTGCCACGATTTCTTCACCTATACTCGACGTACATGGCACGCGAAAAACGACGTCTCGACTCCACCACCGATCAAGCGAATCTCAATGAGCCAAATCAAATGCGCGACTTGGCAGATCTCTTGGCCACACTACGCGCGGAACATGGACGCGGTCGCTTAGATGGTTATGGAATATATCTATATGGCGTTGTACTCAAAGCATTAAATCTTAATAAGGCAGCCGAGCAAATGCTTGTAACCGCTGTGCGCATGGTGCCAATGTTGTGGAGTGCCTACCTGGAGCTATCACCCCTCATTATGGAGAAAAAGAAGCTGCTGAGCCTGCAACTGGGCGGTCATTGGATGCGGCATTTCTTCATGGCACACACTTACTTGGAGCTGTATTTGAATGATGATGGACTGAAGATCTATGAGGATCTGCAGGCTGCCGGCTTCAACAAGAGCATCTATATAACCGCACAAATGGCGCACGTCTATCACAACAAGAGGGGTTCGTAGCTGAGATCTAGCTCGAGAAGGTTTCTAATCTCTATTAATAAATTTTAGATGTGGATAAGGCTATTGAGCTGTTTCAGGCGCTGTTTGAGAGCGACCCCTATCGTTTGGACAACGTTGATACCTACTCAAATTTATTGTTTGTCAAGGAAATGAAAACGGAAATGGCTCAACTGGCGCACAAGGCTGTTAGCATTAACAAATACCGACCCGAGACATGTTGTGTTATAGGCAAGCAGTGACCGATTTAACTAAGTAAATTAATATTCTAATCGATTTTCTAATCCTATCTAGGCAATTACTACAGCATACGTTGTGATCACCATGTGGCGATTTCATATTTCCAGCGCGCTTTAAAACTGAATCCGAAGTATTTAGCAGCCTGGACGCTGATGGGTCATGAATTTATGGAACTGAAGAACACAAATGCGGCCATACAAAGCTATCGGAAAGCTGTGGAGGTTAACAAGCGTGATTATCGTGCTTGGTATGGTTTGGGTCAGGCCTACGAGATCATTAAGATGCACTATTATAGTTTGTATTATTTTAAAATTGCCCATCAATTACGGCCGTATGACTCGCGCATGCTTGTTGCATTGGGCGAAACATACGAGAAGCTGGACAAGTGTGAAAATTCGGTGAAATGCTATTGGAAGGCCTGCGATGTGGGCGACATCGAGGGCATAGCCATGTATAAGCTGGCCAGCCTACACGAGAAGCTAGGCGACAACGAGACGGCCGTTCATTGTTATATTATGTACTGCGAGGACGAGCGCGCTGCCACCGACAAACAGAGCCTGTATCAGGGCTTCATGACGCTGGCCAACTACTATGAGAAGAAGTGTGACTATGAGCGTGCTGCCTACTATGCTTACAAGTGTCTGGATTCTGATGATGTAAGTTAACTATTGAACGTTTTCCTCAGCTCCTTAATAATCTATTTATTGCAGCGCAAAACGGAAGCTAAGGCGCTGCTAAAGACAATCGATTATCGTCGGAGTGCTGAATGCCAGAAGAAAAAGTCCACGGCAACGGTGGTGGCTACGGCAGAGACCAGTTCCGAGGATGAAATGGAATGGGAGCAGCTCGATGTACGTGCCCGTGTACCATTTACCTCCATAGCCGACACGAGTAAAACAACGTCTACGGCAACGGCAACCGCAACAGCCAGCTCCAGTGGCAGCGCAGCCACAGGGGCATCTACCTCAGCCGGTGCGAGAAGGTTACGTGCAGTGCCGGAGCGTGTGCGTCGAGCGCAGCCCAATCAGCGAACCCTGACGGGACCCACTGCAAATAGCACAGCGACAACACCCACGGCGGCAACATCAACAATACCCACAATAAGTGAGGAGACGCCCGGGGGTAGTTCGGCTACAACAGCAACGGAATCGGAGACACTGGGGGACTCAACGCCGGCGACAGGAACAACAGAGCAGCAGGCGGCACACGATAGCAGCTCAATGGAAATTTCTAGCGTGTCCATTGATTAGAGATTATATGTTTCAAGTTAGAGAAATTCTACTGTGAATGGGCTCATAAATTGATGATTTCTTTTAAATGATCAAATGGTTTGAGTGAGGCGTGAACCTATTAAAAGTGTGTTAAAATTTATATAGTTTTTGTATGCAAATGTATATTATATTCAATTTGTAATGTTTATTATATATATTTATATATTATAGCTATTCGGAGTAGAAGTTGGAGTGTCTCAGTATCAACTAAATATTTGTATACTATTCCACCAGCTCATTTGAGACATAATTATAAAACACTTAAATTAATCCTGTTCCCCCATCTCACAGAGCTCGTCGGATGCACACGTGCAGCGACACATTGAAGGTAATCAACAGAACGAGTAGAAATAGTCCTAATATCAGAACATCCGAATGAACCATATCTCCCGACATATCGAAATCTTTGAGAAAGTGCTCGGATGATTTATAATAACAGAATTCCTCATGGCAAGGCAAATCGCCGCGCTGGTAGCCGTAAATGGCGCGCATGAGTCCCTCGAAAACGTAGCGGAAGAAGGAGAAATCACAAATGGGACGCAGGAACCAGGATAATTCACGCATGCGTATAAAGAAGCCGGAGAAGAGCAGGAACGGTATGGACACGGCGGGCACGATGAATATGGCCAGTTGCATGGAGAGCAATGTGCCGCCAATGACGCCAATAAAGTGACCGATGAACGCGGTCAGCACGCACATGCTCCAGCACATGGCGAACCTGGCCAGCTCCGGCGGCTGTCCAGTCATAAAGTAACTAATTCCTATGAATAAACTCGGACACAGCAATTGCAGCGGCAAATCGGCCAATACCTTTGATATATAGTAGGCTCGGACAGAGTACCAGCCATTATAGTACTCCCTGATAAATACGGACGCATCTTGCATGCAGAGCAGTATGGAGGGCATGGCATTGCCGGAGAATATAAAGAGTATGATGAAGAACATGCAGGAGACGTTGCTGATGACCTTGTTCGCATCATTGCCGATCTGCCAGTAGACCACGCCCAAGAGCAGGCCAATGACGATGTGCATGATCACGCGCATCTGCACGGCAATCTGGAGAGGATTGGGAGTAATATTAATACAAACATTGGGAGAGATCTGTGTCATGCTACTTACTGTATCCCTGGACATGGCACGCAAATGTCTGTGCATAAGTATGCGCAGCTGATACCAGAAGCCCACCTGCTCCTTGGGCCGCAGCACCTGATGCACAGACGAGCTCTCCGACAGCTCAAGAAAAGCTGCTACAATGAAATTGAGGGAGACAAGAGAAAGGAACAGATAGAGCAGTGCAATAAATGAAGGAGAGTGGCATGCAAATAGGACCATGATACAGAAGCAACAGTTAAGCGGGTAGAGATGATTAGCAAGACGTCATCCAGTTAAAGCTCAAGCATAACAAACTTACTCTGCTCATCTGCGGGAACGCTATCAAAGCTCTGCAGGCTATCATACTTGGATTTGTTTTGGGTGATCAACGTTTCGCAGCGCTGAGCGGATGACTCGCTGCCCACCTCGAGCACTAAAGAGATATCCGTTAGTAAATCTTTAGCAAGAGCTCCTTCCACTCACCAAAATCTGCAGGATTGTAATACTGTGGACAGCTGAAGCCAGCCGCCTGAAAGCTCTCCAGCATCTCATGCTGTGCGCCCGCAAACAGCACTTCACCATGGGCCAGTACCAAGATATCATCGAAGAGCTGCATCAGCCGCGAGCTGGGCTGATGCACCACACAAACCACAATTCGCCCGTTGTGCGCCAATCTCTGCAAATAGCCCATCACCTGGTAGGTGGCCACGCTGTCCAGTCCGCTGGTGGGCTCATCAAAGAACATAATCGGCGGATTGGTGACCAGCTCAATGCCAATAGACAGACGCTTGTGCTCCCCGCCAGAAATGTCCCGGACCAGCGTATGTCGACACGAATGCAAGTTGAGCACCTCAATAATGTCATCCAGCTGGGAAAATGGAATGAGAGTGGTTTAGAAAATGTCACGTAGTTCAAAAGGATCTTTAGATAACTGCATTTCATTACCGACTACAGGGCATGCTATAGTCGTATATCACCAACTAGCATTTACTTACAATAATTTGCTTCTGCAGCGCAGTTGTGCCTGTGGGCAGCTTGAGATCTGCGGAAACGCGCAACGTTTCCTGCACCGTGAGCAGCGAGAGCATCTCAAAGTTTTGCGCTATGTACGAGGACATTTTGCGAAACGCCTGCAAATCTCTCGGCTGTCCATTGAGCAGAAACTGTCCCGATACACCGCTGACCCTGCAGCAAATAATATTACTTGATTAACTTAATTGTCCATCCAAGATCACTCACTTGAATCCAGCCAAGACATTCAGCAGCGTGGACTTCCCGGCACCGGAGGGACCCAGTATCGCCGTCAGACGACCCGCTCGAAAAGCTCCACAGGTTTCATTTAGAATTAGATTCTTCGACTGATTTGGACCCTTCAGCTTGTAGCTGACCTGCCTGAAGAGCAGCTCCAGTGGCTGCACTTTAGCCAAGCCATTTGACACTGTGGCTCCAGCATTATCCACCATTGTCAGAGACTTTTGTTTTTAACCAATTTTGATATCAAAGCGTCTGGCCTGGAAGAAAAACAACGCTCGACTGTGGTCTAGTGGTGAATGCGGTTATCGTTTTGCACTCTCCATTGATTGTGGAGTTCAAGTGCCTGCATTTATTATTATTATTATCAGCATTGTAATCGAGTCCGCTGTTTAATCCGAATTCAGCAAAGGGAACAACGAAAATTTTTGCAATCTTATCTGATCGATCGAGACGGTTGTTGTTGTTGTTGTTGTTGTATATTGGCTTTGTTCAAATGTTTAACTGGGAAATACATTTGTTTTAAATTTTAATATAATTTTAAAAATTTATTGAGTCAATGATTGATAGGTCTTAAGGTAAGTATTGATAGATGGGCCGTCCTTAAGATAAAACATTTACAATACTGCTCGGCTGATTAATCATTTCACTGACATTTATGATGTATGTATCTCATAAATGTATCTAAAGCTGGGCAGCTCAACTTATCACCGTTGTTAAATTTAAAGCTTTACACTCTTGATATTTTCATTATTAATAGGCTTTATTTTAACCCAATTAATTCACTTTTTTTATAAAATATGTTCTCTCTTAATTGGTCATGACTTGACTGTGGTCAGTCGAGGTTTGAAGCTAATCATTAGTTTGCTTTCATTTCACATGCAAGGCGATAAGCCCAGTGATAACAACTACAAATTGTTATGTGTTGCACTTTGTGCAGCTATGTACATATGGTATATCAAATTATAAACTATCTGATACTCTGTACAAATTTTAGTATGAAATGGGAGAGCTATTAGATGATAGATTATGATATAGTATCTAGATAAGAACCGTTTTAGTGTTATGGGAAATATCTGTCTGATGACTATTGGGAAAGATTTTTGAAATAATAGGCTATCACATACTCGAACAACTTTAGGATCTAATGGGACGCACTAATGGAAAAGTAATGTTCCTAACTGTGTATTTAAATTTTAGAATATACGACAAGTAATTACGTTTATAAAGTTACGATGTTTAGGAATCTTAAATGCTATGAAATAAAAAATATAATTAAAGCCGAGTTCAACTTTAAAACATATACGACTGCGCCCAAAAGTATGAAACAAAATAATATTTGTTTTATTTAAGGTCTCACTTTGCGAACTTTGAAATAAGAGTAGAATAATTAAGCTTCAATGAGTTTCGACTGACATCAGAAAACATAGTGAATTACTCTAGAGCGTCAACTCAACTAATGCAACTGCGTAAGATTATTTCCAGTAAATATATAACAAATTTATAGATAATGTAACGTATAATGCAAATGATTTTCCTTGACGGGGCTTATCAGTTTCCAGCTACTATATGCTTCAATTCGCATATAGTTTGTATATTATATATGTGTGTGTATGTATCTACAGATGGAAAACACTTGCAATCACATTTTAGGCCTTTCAATTGTAGAGAAAACTAGTTTTAGGCTTTCATCTAGACAACTAATACTAGATAATCATATGTTGACTCATAAAAGTTTGTAATGCCTCTAGATATAAATATATATTTATGTATATATAAATTTAATCGCGTATATATAGATTGTTATTTTAACAATGGGTTGCTTCACTTCAATTAAATTTTCATCACACGTCTTTCCTCCTCACTCGATATGGGTAACCGATCTCCCGACACAAACGACGATCGCTTTCCACTGAAACACAAAACACAACTGAATTCTCAATTTGGTTTTATTTTGTATTTATTGCCGGCTTCTGTGTTTATAGTAATCACAGTACTTGAGCTATGCCCCAACATGTTTGAGTTGGCTCCAAACTGGCTGGCTGGCTGGCTGTATGAGAACAGTGGAGCAAACCGGCTTTGCTGGATTTATCTTAGTTATTATTTGTGTTATTATCTTGTTAGCTGGGTTGAATTTAGTTATGAAAATATTTAAAATATATGTTTTTTATTTTCAAAGAACAATTTTTCATGGCATAAATATGTAAAGCAAAATTAATTTTAGAAAAAATATACAATCAATATTTGATCTTACAAATGCCCACATTGCTTAAATTGAATATTAATCTAAGGGCGATTTCATTTATTATTTTAGCTAAATATTAAACCTATTACTTCTTAAAAAATTCAACAAATTCAATTTTATTCAAATATATAATATTTTTTATTTATAAATATATATAAAACATTTTTATTTTATTTATTAAGCTAAATACAATTTTTTAAACATTCTTAAAAATTCAAACATTGTAATATTATATAATTAAAATATATTTATATTTTTTAAATGTTTCCTATCAAATTTTATTGCATTTTTGTCTATAATTACTTAAGAATTTTATTTATTTTTTTTTTTTTTTTTAATATTGCACGTATAAAAACCACATAAGAACAAATAATTTCTTTCTTTTAATGTATTTACGATTTTTTCATTAAGAATTTTACTTTACGGTGGGTTTCGCTTAAATTAAGATCAACATTTTAGAATATGTGCTAATAAATTTGTATTTTTAATTTTAAAAACTTTTGTTCAAAAAATAATCTATTACTTTTAGATTTACAAGATTACGAAATTACATATTTCTTATAAAAGTTCATCATCTAGTAAGTTCTAAAGACTTTTGATTGCAATTTAACAAGTTTTCCCTCCGCGCAGTGGATGTCAACCAAACAATTCCAAAAAACTATGAATACAAAAATTTCATATTTATTACATATTAAGTTTACCGAAAAAAAAACACTGAGCTTAATAAATCTATGTATTTACATCAGCTTAAAACTAAGCAATAGTTGATGATGGGGGTCATTAATACGATTGTAAAAAAATACAAGAGCTAGTCTAAGGGGTTTTGTATATATATAATTGAAGAAATATCTATATACGAAATATATAAATGTTATGGAATTGTGCATTGGGTAAACATTATTTGCTGCAATTAGATAAGATAAGTATGTATGTGTATATCACGATTTCTCCTTATGCTACACGCTGTTCAATTCTTTGGCACATGGTTCACTCAATTAAATGCTAAAAGAAATCATAAATATACTCGCAGTTGCTCAACTCTATACAGTGTGTACATCTGATAAAATATACATATATAAAAAACTCTATCAACTGTCAACGGAATGTGAGTAGAGCTCATTAGCGTATCATCTAAACAATCTGAGTCTGAAGGACATAATATAGAAGGCTATAATGCGCAGCATGATCAGCAGGCCGAGCATAAAGAATATGGCGAGCTGATAGTTGGCATGCTCCATGTCCAGATTCTTGAGTATGTACTTGGGTCGCGACAGATGACAGTACATCTCGTTGCAGTCCAAACGTTGCCGATCGTAGCCGAACAAGGCCAGCATAGCACCATCCAGACTATATTTTAGAAACGAGACATCAAAGAACCAGCGTAAATAGACCGGCGCATCCTTCTCCTGCAGAAAGAAGCCGCTGAATGCCAGAAATGGGCAGATGAAGAACGGTCCCAGTATTGCGCCAAGATTCAAATTCAGTGCTGCACCCACAGTCAGTCCAATGCTCTGCGCCACCAGCGCCGTCATAAACACAATCAAAAAGAACATGCCAAAGCGCCAGGGCTCCAGCGGCTGGCGTGTCATCAGATATGTGGGCACTATAAACAGGGAGCTGCAGATGACCTGTATCGGCAGATCGGCCAGCGTGATGGCCACATAGTAGGCACGCAGCGAATACCAACGATTGAAGTGCTCACGCGAAACAATCGGAAATTCCAGAGGAACTGCAAGTAGAGAAATATATT